ATTATGACTGTGGCTAATATGTGTGACTGCGGTATCATTTTCTGATCCCGAAACATTTTATTTTAAAATAAAATAATTAAAATAATATTTAAAATAAAATAATTAAAGTTGATTTGATGTAAGAGTAGGAGATATATGATACTAAGTGATGATTTGTTAAAATTATGTGAGTGGATGAATAGTGAATTAAAGTAGATGTGATGTGTAAAAATGATTGGATAATATTGTTCAATTATATTGATAATATTGAGGATATTGGAGTTGAGTCATATTTTCAGTTGAATGAAATTTCGAGTGAAAATTTTTGTATGAGAAGTTATTTTAATCACTGCTGATAACATTTAATATCATCAATGCAGATAAGATTTTAACCAAGAAAATTGCAAGCCCATAGTCCAAAAACCTATCATTACTTAACTAATTTACCAATTTAATTTCGTTTGTTTACCTTGATAGTGAATGTATTGAGCAGCCTATCATCAACGGTGGCGATTTTGACATGAAGAATTTGCAGGTCAAGCTCCTCAAGCACCTCTACAATCCTGACCGTCTGATTAGGCACACGTGGTGAGACCGTTTTCAGCATCAGATTTGGGCCCGAAAACTTGACCTCAACCTCGGCTGTGGCTGATTTCGAGTTTGCCACGAGTTCGTTAACTGCGTCGTTTATGGATGACGTGGAAGAGTTACATGGTGATGGGTCGACTGGGCTGGGGAGAGATGATGGTGAGTTGAGGAAGCCCGTGGGCTGGGGCTTATAGGCCTTGTATGGGCTGCCTGGCTGTGGGGTCCTTGGGCTTAACGGTGGCTTCCTTGGGCTTGAGATGGGCCTCGGGCTTAAGATGTCGGAATAGGATTTTCGTTGTCTTTTGGCTTCCAGGGATTGGATCAGCTGTTGGAGTTCGTTGATGTAGTCAACAACTCCCCCAATGATTGATGCTTGATCACCCTAACCAAACAAAATTACTTGTAATTAGAATATGATGAGTTGTTATTATGCTACGCGGACCAAATTATCATTAGGAGGTTATATTTTTTTTTGTTTTTTTATTTTTTATTATTATTTTTTTAATAAATGACATTTGATATGTTATTTTTGTTCAGAATATGATAGGTCTAATATGTTATTAGATTTAGAATATATAAATTATATACTATACAAAAAGTTACTTACATTACATGTACGTAAACGTGTGTACACGCCACGCATATAAACACTTCACGTATAATTCCCTCCCAAACAGTAGTGTCTCGACGTGTAGAATTTGCCACATTTAATTACAACATATTCTTTCCTTACGTTTCATATACTTCAAATTAATATTCTTTTTTTAATTTATAAGAGACTCCTGTAAATAGTTCAATTCATTTTCATTATTATAAAAAGGTAGTTAGAATATACGCACTTGATACTAAGGTTTCCTAATCTAAAAGTAAAAGAACACATTATTGAAACCCAATTTAACAATACATGCATGACTTATTACTTTTTATTATGTACATTGTTGTAGACCATACAAAATATTATATAGCGAACACCTGAGCTAACCTAGAGAATTAAACAAGTAGTGTAGAATATTATTATTAGAAAATGTTATAATCCCGTTACGAAACTATTCCGTCGGGATTTGTAACTGTTAAATCATCATGTAACCGTCGTAGATAGTTGATCTAACAGTTTCAAATCCCGACAGAATGATTCCGAAACAGAACTATAGAATCTCCCTTTATTATTATTATTATTATTATTATTATTATTATTATTATTATTATTATAATAAAATTGACGCAGTTTGTTAGGTGGCAAAAACTAATTAAGAAAGGGAACTTACTCTTTTGGCATAAAAGCAAGGCATCAAAGAGCGAAGTACAGCCAAATTGTCGTTCATTTGCTTCCTCCGATTCCTCTCCACCGTTATATGAGACATTCTGTGCTGCCCTAATTCCTCCGCCGCCGGAAAATCATCACCGCCCGCAAACTTTGGCCTCTTGCGGCTGGGCGAACCTCCGTCAACCTCCCAACATGATTTCTGAAACGCAAAGCTTACCATTTCTTCTTTAGACCCACTGTCTGAATAATTTTCCAGACCCTCATTCATCTTCATCATCATATTATTATTATTATTATTATTATTATTATTATTGGAGTTATTAGCACTTTCCCAAGCTTCAAGAACACTGAAAATGTCATCCTCGAAAAAATCAGAAAGATTTTCGCCTTCCATCAGAAAAAAAATATAATGCTATAATAGAAACTTCAAGAGAATAGTAGTAACAATAAAAAAACAAGACCAAGATATTATGTCGACAAATTTAATTTAAGGGGGGAAAAAATAAAGAAAGGTGTGTGTTGGATATAGTTTGGGAAGTAGGAGACCAAATTATGGATGTGAATTTGGAGACTATTATTTTTGGAAAGGGAACAAAGCAATCGCCATCCAAGAACTTTTTTTGAGATTTGGGGGTGGCCTCTTTTTGGATTGAATTTATGTATATATAGAGAGAAAGTGCTTTATCTAGCTCAACGATGTAGAATTCTGGGAATTAAAGTGTGTTACAAAAACATAAATATGAATTAAATATGGAAATGTGAGGCATTGAATGGAGTGAAAATGGGTGAGGCCGTTGAAAGAAAGTGTGGAGCCGTTGGATTCATTAAGTAATATTCTTGAATTCGTATCCTGCCGGAATACTGACTAGGAGGAGTCTAGGACTGAGCTCTAGATTATGGATCTTGTTTCAACCGTCGTGTTATTGTTTAATATTTCAATTCAAAATTTAAAAATTGTATAATTATTTCCAAATTGATTTGGTGGTCTATCAATTCAACAAATACTATGATATGCCTTTATTGGGATTATTGTGTTAGAATTGATTCATTTTAACGGTCTTATGTCGATTCAGGCTAGATGAGAATTCGAGTATTTTGTCAGTTTGATTGATGATTACTCGAGATTTGGGTACGTCTACATGATGTACCGCAAGTCCGAATGCTTTGAGATATTCAAGGAGTATCGTGGAGAAGCTTCGGGGTAAGAGTATCAAGTCACTTCGATTCGATCAAGTTGGCGAATACCTCTTAGGAGAGTTCGTGACATACTTATCAGAAACTGGGATTGAATCCCAACTGGCTGCACCCGGCACACCCCATCAAAACGGAGCTGCAGAGCGAAGGAATAGGACTCTTATGGAGATGATTAATTAGGTCGAGGATGAGTTATTTAGAGTTACCGAATTCGTTTTTGGGAATGGCGCTAGATACAACATCGTATATCCTGAACTTGGTTCTATCGAAGTCAGTGGAGACTACTCCATATGAATTGTGGAAAGGACGCAAGCCAGTTTCTCACATATTTGAATATGGGGTAGCCATGCGCATGTTCTGGTGCAGGAGGGTGGCAAATTGAAAAAGCGTTTGAAAGTAAGGCTGCTTGTTGGTTATCCCAACGAAACGAAATACGGATTGTTTTATAGTCCCGAGGATCCGAAGGTGATCGTTGGCACGAACGCTAGATTCTTGGAAGAAGACTATATTATGAACAACAACCCCGCGAGTAGACTTATCTTAGAGGAGTTGAGGAGTGAAGTTGTTAGTCCCGTGTCAAGTGCGCAAGTAGATACACCACATAATATTGCAACATGACACACCGTACTAAAGCAGATAGTACCTCGTCGCAGCGGGAGGATTATGAGATAGCCTTATCAGTTATGTTCCTTGGAGAGCCATCTGACTCACTCTCGAGTGAACTAGAACCGAGCCCTTGGACGTTTAATAAAGCACTCCAAGGCAAGGATGCAGTATCATGGCAAGGTACGATGAAAGCAGAGATGGAGTACATTGATTCTGGGATCTTATAGAACCACCCAGTGGGGTACGACCCATTTGATACAAGCGGGTCTAAGAGAAAGAGAAGATCAGATGAGAAGGTTAAGACCTTCAAAGCTAGGCTTGTTGCGAAGGGGTATACTCAGAAAGAAAGGATCGATCATGAAAAAACCTTTTTGCCATTAGTCATGCTTATGTCCATTTGGATTGTCTTGGCTGTAACGGAAGTTTTCAAGAAGACATCTATATATATGCAACAACCAGAAGGTTTTATCGCAAAGGGACATGAACATCTAGTTTGTAAGCTTAATCGGTTCATTTATGGACTGGAGCAGGCTTTGAGGTCTTAGAACATATGATTCAATGAGGTGATCCAGTCGTATGGATTAACTCAATATCCAGATGAGCACTCTGTGTACAGGAAGCGCAATGAAAGCGTGGTGGTGTTTCTTGTGCTTTACGTAGACGATATACTTCTAATTAGAACCAATAGGAAAAGGTTTTAGGTAAATGTCTTGTCAAGGAAAGGAATTGTCAGACGCAAAGGTATGGTTGTCTGAGCAGTTGATCTGAAGAACTTATGAGAAGCAGTCGACATTCTTGGTATCATGGTCAACGTGAGAAGAGAATGTTGTGCTTATCCCAGTCTTCATACATAGATATTGTCTTGCCCAAGTTCAGCATGCAGAATTTCAAGAAAGGGATATTGCCCTTTCAGCATAGAATATCTTTGTTTAAGGAGATGTCTCCCAAGACAACTCAAGAGATAGAGGACATGAAGATAGTTTCTAATGCTTCGACTGTAGGAAGTCTCATGTATGCAATGTTGTGCACGAGGCCAGATATTAGCTATGCCGTTGGCATGGTAGCTAGATCAGAGTAATCCAGGTCCGGAGCATTGGTCTCTGTTGAAACATATATATACTCAAGTAATTGAGAAGGACTAAGGAGTACATTTTAGTTTACCGTGCAGACAGCTTGTTTCCGTTAGGTTATAACAATTCTGACTTCCAGTCAGATCGTTACGAGAGTGAATCAACCTCAGGCTATGTGTTTACTTTAGGAGGTGGAGCCATTTTATGGAGGAGTGCTAAGCAGAAATGCGTGGCAGACTCAACTATGGAAGTCGAGTATGTTGCTGCCTTTAAGGCAACGAAGGAGGCAGTGTGGCTCAGGAAATTCTTGGTGGACTTAGAGGTGATTCCGATTTTGCCATAGGGTATCACAGTTTACTGTGATAATAGTGTTGTAGTAGCAAACTCAATGGAACCATGAGCCCACAAGAAGAGTAAATACATAGAGTGCAAGTACCACCTGATATGAGATATCGCAGGAATATGAGACGTTGAGGTTGTCAAGATTGCATCAGAGCACAACCTAACTGATCATTTTACGAAGAGTGTGCCGGAAAAGATATTTGTCAAACACATAGAAGAAATCTGAGTCAGATGTGTGACCACAGAATCGACATAGGTCTTTTAGAATACAGATTGATAGAAATACATTTATAAAAGTGTAAGTATAAGTTAGAGATTGTTGGTGTATGTACTGAAAGCTTTGCTTTGGACATTATTTACACTATTTCTGTTGAATGAGAATCATGTTTGATTAAATAAGTTCTATGTTCTATTATTTTGCAATTAGATAAAATGGTTCATTGCGGGTGGACAGAAGATCATTTTATCGGTCACTTGCGAAACAAGAATGATTGGTTCACAACCTAGATGAAAATGAACAAATCATTAGAAAGGTTGTAATGTAAACCGTACAGTTGATCATAACTGATTAGTTGCAGTAGTACATTTTATGTATTGAACTGGATCCTAGAGAGGAGAATTTCGTTTTATACTGATCATCGTAAACGAACTAGGCCTTGAACTGAATCCCAGATATAAACGTATTCTGCTAAAATGTATATAATAGTGAAATAGACTTCACACGGTCTTGGTTCGAACTACTATAGTGAAAGAATAGCCTCTTCGACCTCGATGACTTATCCTTCCGCATCTTCACCTACGAAAACCTTGTTACGACTTCTCTTTCCTCTAAATGATAAGGTTTAGTGGACATCTTGCGACATCGCAGGCAGCGAGCCGCCCACGTCGCCTCGATCTGAACACTTCACCGGACCATTCAATCGGTAGGAGCGACGGGCGGTGTGTACAAAGGGCAGGGACATAGTCAACGCGAGCTGATGATATTCGTCATATGTGTGACCACAGGATCGACATAGGTCTTTTAGAATACAGATTGATAGAAATACATTTGTAAAAGTGAAAACTTTTAAGTATAAGTTAGAGATTGTTGGTGTATATACAGAAAGCTTTGCTTTGGACATTATTTAGACTATTTCTGTTGAATGAGAATCATGTTTGATTAAAGAAGTTCTATGTTATGTTATTTTGCAATTAGATAAAATGGTTCATCGCGGGTGGACAGAAGATCATTTTACTGGTCACTTGCGAAACAAGAATAATTGGTTGACAACCTAGATGAAAATGAACAAATCATTAGAAAGGTTGTAGTGTCAACCGTACAGTTGATCTTGACTTATTAGTTGCACTAGTACATTTTATGTATTGAACTGGATTCCATAGAGGAGAATTTCGTTTTATACTGATCGTCGTAAACGAACTAGGCCTTGGTTAATTACATCGTTCTTTTAACTTATAAGATATAAATAGACATGTGCATGCAGTAGCTATTACTTTAATTCACAAAAAGCGAGATCCATTATGTTGGGTCAATAGCTTTCGTGTTTTTGATAACAGTGCTGCGTGTATGATGTGTTGTTAGAATATTTACGGTCACCATGTGCGTTAGTTTGATGATGTCCTCGAAGTGAGCTCATGAAGGATTATTATGTTACACTCTGCAAGTGGATTAAGTTTCGACATAATAATAAATATTTGAGTTGTACAACCTTCAACTCAAGATGTCAATTATTTCTTAATTGTCGGTAATCGAATTAATTGATGTACATTATATCTTAAACGTGAGGAGGTAATTCGAGTAATTATTATTGAAGTCTCGAATATAATACGAGGATGATAAGGGAGTGCAATAATGTTTTGTTAGTGGACCAAAACATTTCTTAATTTATTGAGCAGAGAGGGCTCGACCCACAGTTGGGCCCAATAACTTAAGAAGCTCACATCATCACCTCCTTAGGGTCCCTACTATAACCTTATAGATACACCATTAAGTTCATTGATTGGGCACTCCATACGCACGCCTCACACACAAAACTGGCTGGTCTAAGTATCTCCCGAGCTTTATCTTCGAGTTTGTTGCTCCACCGAGACAACCGAAGAGGTGTTAGGTAATATAGCATAAGTCACTGAGGTAACCCAGACCCCGTGGGCTAGCTGCGACCAGGCTTTCCTAGAGACCAGTAGC